AGCCGAATGGCTCACGGGGCTACACCTAATAAATGAACTTGAATGTCACTATACATGTATCATGCATGTTTGATGTTCGTATGATGTATGCATGATGTATGTATGACGCGTGTATGACGTCTTGTATGATGCACGTGTAGTTGTGTATTCTCGCGGACACTGTCAGCTTTTCTCTTGTGTCACTTTATTACTTCGCATCCCACATTCTTGCTCCGAACTCTCTCTCTTACTACCGCTAGCCTGTTACTGAACACTCCGCTAGGCCGTTAGCCTTTTCTCACACCTCCAACCTCGTCCGTGCCCCCAGTGGGGGATCAGCCAACACCGCTGGGGAGCACGAGGTGTTGAGGGCGAGGTCCCAGGCTTCTTGTCTCCGGCTCTTGTCCTCTTCGTTCCTTCAGCTCCAACCAACTCAACCCCGTATTCTCCGCACACCTCTTTATATCCCCCTCCTCAATAAGGGTCTTCAATTGCCCCCTATTAAGCCGGCGCCTCGGTGGCGCCTCCTGCAGGTGCTTCCTCTCCCTTATCGTCTCCATCTCCCGTTTCTCCGGCGCCTACTCCGTGTTTGCACGCTTGCACCTGCCTGTCCCCGAAAGCACCCACCTCATTACCGCTTCTCCCCTTAATTGCTGGCGCCTCTCTGGCGGCTGTTCCATGTCCTAACGCTTGCACCTGCTCGCCCTGAAATGCACCCGCTGTTTGAAAATCCCGCGCGTGAATGCATCCGCTGTTTGCAACCCTGCGGGCGTTATGCCACTACGTATGTATGTACTAGCTTTACTACCCGGCTTCGCCCGAGACTGGGATTCTTGTCTTGGATTAACACACGGCCAAGGCGGAGGGTGGGGGGGATGCATGACGTCAGCAGGCACACTGCGTAACGCTGCCGCATGCGGGTGACATCACAGATGTGACGTCACCGCACACTCGCCGTGCAATAAATTAATTTTAATTCCATTATTTCGCCTCCCCCCCCCAAAATGCAAAATTCTATTTTTAGATTTTTTCATTGTGTACAGTCTGGAAGCTACCCACATGCCAAATTTCAAGTTTTTTGCATGTTGGGAAGTATGCTAAACATTTCGAACAGACACACATATTCACAAATTTCCCTTTTATATATGTAGATGTATGGATGACAAGGCCGTAGCAATGGAGTCAACATTGGGGGGGACCAAATCTTCCAGGGTGTCTGGGGGTCCCAACCCAGAAAAATATCTAAATTTGAAAACTAAATTCCTGCCTAAATCATAAAAAAAAAACACTAACACATGGGATGAACTTTTTATGCACTTTTTTTTTACAATATCTAATAGATTATTGCTCTGTTTTTACTTTTTTAAATAAAGTACAACCATAACCGCAATCATATAAACAGAAATCTATGCATTGATTTATATGAAGACAATTCCAGATATTGTGGACAAGTTTTAGCAAATTGTTATTTTTTTTATTTACATAGCATAGCAATATGTTCTTATAGCAATATAATGGGGGGGGGGCATTTTGAGCATATTATAATTACGGTCTTGATGGATGATGTCTTGTATGATGTATATATGATGTATGATGCATGTATCATGTATGTATGATGCATATCAACGGGACCTTTTTGGCAGTATCAAAGTATGAATTATAGTAATTATTTATATTATTTGGGTCTTTCGGTAAAGTCACGTAGATCGGTTCAGAAAAGTAACAAACCTTTGTGGCAATAAAGCAGGTGTTAAGATGTTCAAACACCAAACATAAGAAATCAAATCTGCATTAATCACACACAGTACTTGTGCCAAAGCATGAAAACAAACACGCTCTGATAATGTATGCATTGTCTTTGAAACTGATGCATATGTATGCATTTACGTATAACTTCTTTCGCACCGTACTTAGCCAACCGTGCTAATGGGCGGTGGTATATTGCACTTCCCCACCTCCGGAGCACGTAAGAGCCATTTTAAACACTACAACTAATTAAACTCTACACATCTGAAAGGGCAACCCCCTCTCAAGCCACACTGAGGGTTTCCAGGAAGAAAAAAAATGAGCACAACTAATATTTTCACCTGCACCACCACCACCATCATCATTATTATTATATAAACTCCTCGACTTGTCATATTCCTCAAAGATAATGTCTCCTGGCATAAGCTCAAGCAGACACACCCTTCCCATGCTGCCAAACGCGTAATACACACACGCACACGAAACAGAGACAAAGATTACCCATATAGCCTCTAACTCAATGTTGGGACAAGTGCTGTCAGCGAGCACCCATTAAGGTGTCTCCCGAGTGATGACGAGTGTTCTTTGTTTTACAGACCACCGCACCCAGGTACAGTACAGTGCTCATTCAAGGCTGAGCCGACCTTGGCGAGGCCCAGGACCGGTTCGGATATTCGTCACCGTTGCTGGCTCAGGCCGTGAGCGAGAATGGAACTCGGCTGGTCGTGTCCATTGCTCAGTGCGCTCACCACTACACCACCGCGTCCTACACAGGCACAGACAAAGGTCCATATTCTTGGGTTTTTTCGGTAAAGTCACGTAGGTAAAAAAATAAAATTAAAATTAATAAAAGTAAAATAAAAATTAAATAAAAATCACGACGTTGCGGAGGCAACACAAGCTTCCGTCTTCAGGTGGAACCGTCACAGCACGCTTGCTGTATCAAGTAAATGAGTTAGAGTTGAGTGGCATTTACTTGATACAGCAAGCGTGCTGTGACGGTTCCACCTGAAGACGGAAGCTTGTGTTGCCTCCGAAACGTCGTGATTTTTATTTTATTTTTATTTTACTTATATTAATTTTAATTTTAATTTTTTACCGAAAAAACCCAAGAATATGAATCCTTGCAGTCACGAAAGCTTCAAATCTAGAACAGACAAAGGTCCCCCGTAAAGGCTTCGAACAAACAAGCGCTGTTAGCGAGCACCTATGAAGGCCGGCAAGGTACACGATGGGGTTGGTGGGTGACCAACATCACGCCCGGCCCCCTTGGTTTCCCGGATAGCAGGTGCTCATTCGAGGCTGAGTCGACCTCGGGGAGACCCAGAACTGATTTAGATAATTGTCACTGATGTTGGTGATTGGTCGTGATCAGGAATTCTTGATTTGAAGCTTTCGTGACTGCAAGGGTTCATATTCTTAGTTTTTTTTTTCGGTAAAGTCACATAGGTAAAAAATGTAAATAAAAATTAATAAAAGTAAAATAAAATAAAAATAAAAGAATAAAAATCACGACGTTTCGGAGGCAACACAAGCTTCCGTCTTCAGGTGGAACCGTCACAGCACGATAGCTGTATCAAGTACTTGACCTGAAGACGGATGATGGTGTTGCCTCCGAAACGTCGTGATTTTTATTATTTTTATTTTATTTTACTTTTATTAATTTTAATTTAAAATTTTTACTTACGTGACTTTACCGAAAAAACCTAAGAATGTGATCAGGAATCTAACTCGGGTGGCTGTGTTCGTGTGCGCAGGGCTCTAACCACTACACTACCGCCCCCCACGCAGACACAGTGAGACAGACAGACACACACACACACGCACATACATACTGAGGGCAGCGTTATTATCTCACAACAACTTTGCCACTCAACTCGAACTGATGACGATTCCCTCGGGCACTTCGCTCAGCGATCCCACGCGGTGCTCAACATTATCCAGGAGCACAGCAAGGTTTGTCCAACTAACAACGTAGGCCGCTTTGTCAATCCACTGCTGGATGGAGGCCTCCACTCGCCGAGAGGGTTGTGGGCGAGGTTACGTGACCTCGCGTTGGTGTTGGTGAAACGACGAGTGCAGGGCCGGGTTCAAATTTCATTCGCCACTGATGTGACCCGTGGGTGACTGGGCATCAAAGCCAGGATGCTGGATTCATTGAGCAGTGCGATAACGACTGCGCCACCGCTCCTCCGCGACAATTGGCACGTGCTTAGTACTCTTGACTCAGAGCAGACGAGTGAGTCTCATGATCGCTTCCTCTCACTGAGTCGTCCTCTCTCTCTCTCTGTGAGTCGTTTTCTCTCTCTCTGAGTCGTCCTCTCTCTCTGAGTGGTCCTCTCTGTGAGTCGTCCCCTCTCTCTCTCTGAGTCGTCCTATCTCTCTCTGTGTGAGTCGTCCTCTCTCTCTGAGTCGTCCTCTCTCTCTGAGTTGTCCTCTCTCTCTGAGTAGTCCTCTCTCTCTGTGTGAGTCGTCTTCTCCCTGAGTCGTCCTCTCTCTCTGAGTCGTCTTCTCTCTTTGTGAGTCGTCCTCTCTCTCGTTGAGTCGTCCCCTCTCTCGCTCTGAGTGAGTCGTCCTATCTCTCTGTGAATCGTCCTTTCTCTCTGTGAGTCGTCCTCTCTCTCTCTGTGAGTCGTCCTCTCTCTCTCTCTGAGTCGTCCTCTCTCTCTGAGTCGTCCTATCTCTTTGTGAGTCATCCTCTCTCTCTGAGTTATCCGCTCTCTCTCTTTGAGTCGTCCCCTCTTTCTCTCTGAGTCCTCCTCTCTCTGTGTGAGTCGTCCTCTCTCTCTCTGAGTCGTCCTCTCTCTCTCTGCGAGTCGTCCTCTCTCTCTGTGAGTCGTCCCCACTCTCTCTCTCTCTGAGTAAGTCGTCCTATCTCGTTTTGAGTCGTCCTCTCTCTCTCTCTCTGAGTGAGTCGTCCTCTCTCTCTCTCTCTCTGTGAGTCGTTAGAAGTTGACCTTAATTAGCAATACCACTTCCCCTTACCAACCCGTACTGACCAGTACGGTGAAGTACGGTCAAACAGTTGACATTATCGACTACACAAGATGTCCCGGCGTAAATCCACTCCAGTAACGTACAGAGTTCGATTTAGCAGGAGCTGTTAACGATTATGAAATGATCACTGCGTGTAGGCGACAGTTTAAACAGCAAAACCTACAAGGATGTTTTAAAGCCCTTACCGTGTATATGGATAATTGGTGTATTAACACACGCGGTGTATGTGGATACTTGGTGTATTAACACACGCGGTGTATACGGATACGCGAACTCACCTTTCTCCCCACGTGTTGCAGAGGAGTGGCGTGCGTTGCGTTGCGTGTGTGGCTGAGTGAACTCGTGGCGCTGTATATCCGTGATCAATAACAGAGAGCCACTTCAACCTCTCAGTCGTTTAGTCGGAGGTGCAGCTGCACTCTTACAGCCTCGCTGCGCGGTGTACACAGCAAGGAGCCACTGGGTTACAGTCCCGACTCGGGCACCATTTGTTTTGTGGCGTTTGTGTGTTCTTCCCCTGTGCCGCAGAGAGTGAGTGGAGTTTGTGTGTTCTCCCCCTGTTCTGCAGTGAGTGAGTGGAGTTTGTGTGTTCTTCACCTGTTCTGCAGAGAGTGAGTGGAGTTTGTGTGTTCTTCCCCTGTTCTGCAGTGAGTGAGTGGAGTTTGTGTGTTCTTCACCTGTTCTGCAGAGAGTGAGTGGAGTTTGTGTGTTCTTCCCCTGTTCTGCAGTGAGTGAGTGGAGTTTGTGTGTTCTTCACCTGTTCTGCAGAGAGTGAGTGGAGTTTGTGTGTTCTTCACCTGTTCTGCAGAGAGTGAGTGAGTGGAGTGTGTGTGTTCTTCCCCTGTACTGCAGAGAGTGAGTGGAGTTTGTGTGTTCTTCACCTGTTCTGCAGAGAGTGAGTGAGTGGAGTTTGTGTGATCTCCCCCTGTTCTGCAGAGAGTGAGTGGAGTTTGTGTGTTCTCCCCCTCTTCTGCAGAGTGTGAGTGAGTAGAGTTTGTGTGTTCTCCCCCTGTTCTGCAGAGTGTGAGTGAGTGGAGTTTGTGTGTTCTTCCCCTGTTTTGCAGAGAGTGAGTGAGTGGGGTTTGTGTGTTCTCCCCCTGTTCTACAGAGTGTGAGTGAGTGGAGTTTGTGTGTTCTCCCCCTGTTCTGCAGAGAGTGAGTGAGTGGAGTTTGTGTGTTCTGCCCCTGTTCTGCAGAGTGTGAGTGAGTGGAGTTTGTATGTTCTGCCCCTGTTCTTTAGAGTGTGAGTGAGTAGAGTTTGTGTGTTCTCCCCCTGTTCTGCAGAGTGTGAGTGATTGGAGTTTGTATGTTCTGCCCCGGTTCTTCAGAGTGTGAGTGAGTAGAGTTTGTGTGTTCTCCCCCTCTTCTGCAGAGAGTGAGTGAGTGGAGTTTGTGTGTTCTCCCCCTGTTCCGCAGAGAGTGAGTGAGTGGTGTTTGTGTTTTCTCCCCCTGTTCTGGAGAGAGTGAGTGAGTGGAGTTTGTGTTCTCCCCCTGTTCTGGAGAGAGTGAGTGAGTGGAGTTTGTGTGATCTCCTCCTGTTATGGAGAGTTTGAGTGAGTGGATTTGTGTGTTCTCCCCCTGTTCTGCTGAGACTGATTGAGTGGAGTTTGTGTGATCTCCCCATGTTCTGCAGAGTGTGAGTGAGTGGAGTTTGTGTGATCTCCCCCTGTTCTGCAGAGAGTGAGTGAGTGGAGTTTGTGTGTTCTTCCCCTGTGCTGCAGAGTGTGAGTGAGTCGAGTTTGTGTGTTCTTCCCCTGTTCTGCAGTGAGTGAGTGAGTGGAGTTTGTTGTGTTCTCCCCCTATTCTGCAAAGTGTGAGTGGAGTTTGTGTGTTCTTCCCCTGTTCTGCAGATAGTGAGTGAGTGGGGTTTGTGTGTTATCCCCCTGTTCTGGAGAGAGTGAGTGAGTGGAGTTTGTGTGTTCTCCCCCTGTTCTGGAGTGAGTGAGTGTAGTTTGTGTGTTCTTCCCTTGTTCTGCAGATAATGAGTGAGTGGAGTTTGTGTGTTTTTCCCATGTGCTGCAGTGAGTGAGTGAGTGAAGTTTGTGTGTTCTCCCCCTGTTCTGCAGAGTATGAGTGAGTGGGGTTTGTGTGTTCTCCCCCTGTTCTGGAGTGAGTGAGTATAGTTTGTGTGTTCTCCCCGTGTTCTGCAGATAATGAGTGAGTGAGTGGGGCTTGTGTGTTTTCCCCCTCTTCTGCAGAGAGCGAGTAAGTGTGTCCATTAAGGGTGCCACACAATGTGCCACGAAAAGTGACGTTTGAGTGTCCTGGGATCACTCCCCTCCTCTCACGTCGCTTCTCTTGCCGTCAAAGTCGACAGCGATTGAGGTTTGCGGTTCAGTTCCACCGGGCCGCCCTGGTTAATACCACGGCATGTACTAGCCACAATGACACTACTCCTACCACTATTACCGGTTCAGCGCCAGCGGGCCGCCCTGGCCAATACCGCGGCGTGAACCAACCACAATGACACTACTCCTACCACTATTACCGTACACGCCGCCTGCTTCACAGCGGACGTCAAAGATCGCCCGTGACGTAATTCGCAAGAGTCGAATGATGCCACGGTCCAAAGTTTGCCAAATTCTAAACTTGCACTGCAAATTGACTAAATTGGGCACAATACAGGGTTTTTTTGGGGGGGGAGGGGATAGAGCTCAAATATGTGTCGTTAAACCAGCCACCACCCGACACAGCCAATTAGGTTTTCTAAGTAAACAAAGCGTGCCGATTGGTTACGACTTCAGCACTCCGGTTGTGTGTTGGAGAGTAAACCCCATAAAGCATTTACAATTCAAGCATTGTGGTGTTTTTCCGGTAATTACAACCAGCATCATCAGGCAACAGCCATAATTGTGGACAATTCCACCCGTTTCGGTCTTAAATAGAGGTTGCCGGGGGGTAAAAGCTGATGCCATCACTGTGAGCCTATCAGGTGTAATTACCAGAAGGTATGGTGGTTAAGGTAGTCAAGATACTCAATTGAGATTCTCCAGAGCAGCAAGCAATTTTAGCACCCGTGCTGGCAGCATACCAACGCCCCGAGGTCACTCCTGCAACTGGGACCCCTCCTGGCTCTCTCTCTCTCTCGAGTTCTAGGCTGGTTACGCAAAGCAACAAACGAACAACAAATAGGAATAGGGCTTCGCCCCTTCTGGAAATGAAAGAGGAGGTGCTAAGATGTCAAAATAGCAAATAGATACGTTTTTGGCAAAGGAATCAAGTACTGCATTAACAAAACACAGTACTTTGTGGTGAACATGTAGACAAACATGCTCTATCTTCTTGGTTCTTTCGGTAAAGTCACGTAGAAGGGAAATAATGAAAATGTTTTTTTATTATTATTTTATTATTTCCCTTCTACGTGACTTTACCGAAAGAACCAAGAAGATGAATCCCTGCAGTCACGAAAGCTTTAAATCGAAACATGCTCTAATAATATACGCATTGTCTTTGAAACTGACTGGACTACACCAGAGACAGCCTTCTTTATGGCCTTGTCTCACCAGTGTCAGACCAGAGAACGCCGAAAGACGAACAGTACAAGGACAATGCACGTATCAGAGCATTTATAGCTCGGGATGAGCAGCTATGCCATGGGACCTTGTTTGGATGTTATAGGATGTACGTGTCGCGTTACGTAACGCGACAGTTAAACGATTTGTAGCAGCAGTCAATAACTCGGGAGAGACCGGAGTTCTTGACTCACAAATGTTCAAATCAGTTGCTAGGAGTTGCACTCGGTCCGGTCGTGACGGTTCCATTTTCGGCCGATAAATCGGTAACCGCCATGTGGGCTGTCGATCAGCGGTCACTAAATCTCCGTCCTGCCATAGGAATGTGGAATATCTCACCGGTGGTTTGTTTGGCGTTGCACAACGATCATTAGCGCTTCGCAAAGCACACGGTGACTCTTCATTTTGATTTGCGGGTGTTGCGTAGGCCGACATCTGTTGCCAGGAAACAAAAAATCAACTCGGTTAGTAATGAAGAAAAAAAAAACATTGCAGAGAGGCAAGGAAGGAGGAATGACTGTTACTGAGCCCTCCACAACGAGCCTAAACGATTGCCACTTGTTATGTTATTACACTACTCTATTAAGTTGAGCGTGAGCTTGATGATCCATATCTAACAGGGAGGGTCCCTGAACCACACACACCTGGCATGTCACCAGCATGTGTTTAAGAGAGCCTGATTCTGCAGCTGATGAAGCACTGAATGTAGAAACAGGCCCAGACTTTTTAAATCCTTTATATTAAGTTCACTTGTTTGCTTGCTTGCTTGCGCGCTTACGACCGTGCACAACTTTCGGTCGTTTTTAACCCACTTCCCGTGATCCAATGGAGCTGATATTTTGCACACAGACTCGTTGTGCGTGACAATTTATTTTCGTGAAATTTTTGTTTCAAAATTTTACACTTTTTAGGAATTTTAAAAAAATATTTAATTACCAATTGCTTAATGGTGGCAGGCAATCATCTGACCCATAGGTCGCAGCCATCTCAAGCCAGAAGACGAGAGGACTCTAGCCGCCACGCATATAAAGGATTTATAGTGAAAAACTTTGTTTTTACGGGTTCATTTTTTTGCTTGCGTTGATCAGATCCCGCTGTGAGCACGTGCTCCCAGAAGGCCATGCGGCCGATGGGATGTGTTGATAATTAATACGTTTAATTCTTAAGACGTGGAGATACAAAGACGCCTAGTGGGCCGTCGTGCCTGCTTATTTATTGATGTATTCATCCCGTCACCGATGTCTCCCACGACAATGACGCTCAGTGATTGCTTCGTGCCGCGTGTCGGAGTATGCGCCGTTCACATCATCTCCGCGGTGCCCTCCGCGCAAGGTGTGAGGTGACGGGGCATTACTGCCGCTGCTCAGGCACGTAGCAACTTCCGGTGGAATGGCCTCCCACTCGAGGGATGCTCTTAGACAGCCGAGGTCGGATCGGAGCGAGCCGCACTTCACCCCACCGCACGATCGAAAACTCACCGCAGTGTGGCCCCATGTACGCTGCCGGGTGGACAGACTGGGGGGGGAAAGGGGGTAGAGATTTAAGAAACTCGCACAATAATTGCTACTGCCTCGCCGGGCGATGGAGTCGAACCTAGGACCCTCTGGATTGCAAGTCCAGTGCGCTGCGAACCATTGCATCGACACTGTGGCAGGGCCTTGACCCCCCCTGTGCAATGCGCAAGTTCACACGAGGAGCATGCGACGCGCAAATTGTCATTGAGAGCGGGGCTCACTTTAAAACGGCCTGGGATCTCAAAGCGTCTTACGTAACATCTCAATCATTTCCAATGCCGAGCTGCAATTATTTTGTGTGTGTTTTC